GGGAGGGGGTGGACTGAGGTGTGATCAACCTCTCATCCCATCATGGCAGGCAAACTGAATGTTAAAATATTTCTGGGGTCTCCTTAGCCAAGAGGGGTTGGTTCAATTTGTTGGGGGTGGTGTTAGGATTTTGTTTTTACTTTACAATTAGTTACTCTCACAGTCCATGTGAATCAAGGCCCTCAGGAAGCTGCAGATGCTCATCTATAAGACGAGCGTTTCCGTCACGCTCCACCCCCGGTTGTGACAGTTTTTGGTTTTGTCCACCCTCCTACCTGGACTACCTTCTGGGGAGCAGAGATCAGATACTGTTGTCCCTGTGTTATTTTTCCTTTGGGAGGGTGGCTTTGAGGCCAGTGAATAAAGCTCAAAGCCACTGAAGTCTGACCTTGGTCTACCATCAAGGTCTGACCTAGAACTAAAATCTCTTGCAATTTCATTTGAGCTACTATATATAACATTAGTTTGTGTTTCATTATGGTTTCAGGGACCCAACACCCACCTATTCTCCCATTCGGGGAATATCCTGTATTGGGTTGGATGGATTGGGTCCATCTCTCAATTCCACTGGTAACTTTTACCTTTAGACCTTCAGTAACAGAGCATGGCACAGCTGCAAGTCCACACCATGGGTGACCATGGGGCTGCCCAGGAATCAAAGGTTCTTCACCCTTTTATCCTTTCTCCTCCCAAGCCACATGTTTCCAAGAGCCAGGGTCATTCTAGCACTGACACTAACTTGTACAGTAGAAAATAATTAGGCAGTAAAAAAAATGAAGTGGCAAGACTTTGGAAGGTCTTTTGAAAGTAATAAAGTAAGAAAAGCAATTGAAAGCCAGCCAAGGATGCCACCAGAAGCAGTAGAATCAGGAAGCCCAGGGAGGTTCACTGCTAGGTCCTTTGGAGTGAGCGGCAGATACAATTTTGTAGCTTTAATTTTTCCATTCTGGTTTTTACCATCTGTATCCACTTTTTGAAAAAGCATTTTTAAAAAGATAGCAGTGTGCCATTTCATCCATCAATACATCCATCAATACTTCAGTATGACACATTCTAATTCATCAGACCTCGTTTTCTAAAGCACGACCATACTACTATGATCACACCTAACACAATTATAAATAATTCTCTAATATTCAGCCCACATTAAAATTTCCCTGATTATCTTAAAGATTAATTTTACAATTGGATCTAAACCGTTCACACACTGTGCTTGGCTTCGTGGCTCTGAAGTCTCACTGATTCCTTGGAGAGACTGAGTCATTTGGGGAATACCCCGAATTCTGGGTTTGGCTGATTGCTTCCTTACATTGTTATTCACTATTTTGTCTCTGGCATGACCTGTAAACTGACAGAATTTCAAGGCTTAATTGGAGTCAGGCTCACGTAAGAAGGTACGTGCTGGCTCGGGGCCTGTAGCTCAGCGGTTAGGGCGCCAGCCACATATACCGAGGTGGGCAGATTCAAACCCAGTCCAAGCCTGCCAAACAACAATGACAACTACAACAAAAAAATAGCTGGGCATTGTGGTGGGCGCCTTTAGTCCTAGTTACTTGGGAGGCTGAGGCAAGAGAATCGCTTAAGCCCAAGAGTTTGAGGTTGCTGTGAGCTCTGACAATACAGCACTCTACAGAGGGCAACATAATGAGACTCTGTCTCAACAATAACAACCACAAAAAAGAGGGTGTGTGCTGTGCACTGTTGATGGCACTGTAGCATGTGGCCAGAGTCAGGCCATCCCACTCTCGGTGACAATGTCAGCTTGACCCCTCCAGTATGAAATTCCTCATTAGAATTCACCCACTTCATTTAACATCCATTAAAGACTGATGCTAAGATTATTTCATGGGATTTAAAAAACACATGATCTCATACTTTTTCTTCATGAGATGCTGTCCTTGAGGATCATAGATTTTTAAAAATACATTCATGTGTTTTTTTATATCCATCCTTTTTTTTATCCAAATCATCATATTTTAGGCTGGTGGGAGCATCCTCAGACGACTCCCCTCATCCTGTCGACCAGTAATATCTCAGGCTTATTCTGCTACTTGCCTTTTGTTGATCTGAAATCATCACATTTTCCAAGGAGTTTTCCATCTCTTTCTTCCACTGCACCCTGCTCGGGACTGAAGTCACAAAGAAATTCAAACATGAGGACTCTCCTCTTTAATCAGATGACCACTTCTGGTGGTGCATTTACAGCTTTGCTGTGAATCAAAAGATCTGTTTCGGATACCTGTTTTGTGTTTTTAAATCAGTTTGGAATTAATTAATATTAGTCCTACATGTTCCCTTGGCCTCCGGCTCACACACACCTGTGCTGATATCCCGTATCACAAGCAGATAGAGGGTCACATACGCTGTTTTCCTTAATGCCCTGAATAAACAGTCTTAAGAAGTAATAACTTGATCAAGGAGGAAGTTGATTGCTAATTCCTTATAAGTGCTGAGAATTGTGGCAATAAAATTTTTAAAGAAAAGATTTTTCTCTTTCATTCTCCAATGGTTCCCTATGCAACATTTACAGGGCCTTCTTCCTGTCTCCACCGGCTTCCCTCTCTCTGTGAAGAAAGTAGCCCAGTCCTGAAGGTGGATTTCTGTAGGTGAAAGTGTTTATTTACATTGTAAAAGAACCTGATAAAAGATTGAGAAATATTTCCGATGTTAATTATAAGAATTATCAGATTATATGGATTAAATGATCATTTGGCACTGGGTCAGATTACCCTCAGGGCACACTTCTGAGCATGTGTACACTCCCACAAGTGAAGGGACAATTCCTCAGGAGACCGTCGGGACTCCATCCTAAGCGTTGAGTTGGCTCTGTCCCTATACTCCTGCTCTCTGAAGGTTCTCCCCGCCCACTGGCCATGTGGCTTTGCTCTAGATGAGATCTGTCACCTGACAGGATTTTGTGGCAGGTGTGTGGTGGGCTCTTTGTGTGTCCACAGAACAGTATTGAATGACAGCTAGCGAATGGCTGTGAGCGAGCTGAGGTCTGAATGTGTCCTTATCAGATCAGTCCTCCTAAGTCATTTGTGATGAATTCCAACATCACTTCCCCTCCACCAGCAAAGCCCCTCTGGCCCTCCCCTGCTGGCCCTAATTCACCATGTGAGAAAGCGTGTCCCTAAGTCAGACATGAAGGCAGTTTCTATACATTTCCTAGTAAGAGGCAGTCAGAATGTCCCCAGGCACCAAGGGTGCAGAAAGGTTTGACATCTTCAGTCTCTTTTGAACTAGTGGCTCCCATAGCCTCTTCATGAGCATGGAGGAGGGGTCGGGCTGTGCAGGGGGCTGTTGACACACAGACCAGGCCCAGCTTCCACTTGGTCACTCACAACGCTGGCTATGAGCAAGAAGTCCCCAGACCGCTCTGATCCCCTCACTCAGTCATGGCAAACAGTGCTGGCAGTGGCCTCTGCAGCCCGACTCAGCTATGGTGCAGGTCAGCAGATGATCTCACTGGGGCCCTGCTTTTTGCTTTTTAAAGAAAAACAAAAGCTTGCAGCTGTAGCAAGGAGGAAGCCTCCTAGGAGTCCCTGCATTTGGACCAGGCTATTGTGCCCACTGACTATGTAATAGGAAGTAGAAGAACAACAACAAACCTGGCGTGAATTCCTAGTGTTGTTACTACACAGCTGTGCCGGCAGGTCACCCTCTCTACTTGGCAGTCACAGGCACTGAGGGTCCTTTTGTCCACCAGGAAAGACAGACTACCTGTTGCCCTTGAATGCGGACACTCCCAACACCTTCCCAAAAAGAAACTCTGTGAGGGCAGAAAGGGGTGAGCCCCTCCATCCTCAGCATAAGGGTGGTGACCAGCAACCCTATAATGACAAATGGCTGGTTAACAAGAGGAAAGCTCAGCAAATTGACTTGCTTGTAACTTTCAGTGATGCACAAGCCTTCAGCACGAGGACCCAAAGGCACAGGGAAGACTGTTCATTTCTACGCTTAGGTTCAGTGAGGCATGGACAGCTGCATAGAGCTGTGATTGGACAAAAAGGGCGTGAGCTAACCCTGCCAGACAGAGGGCGGGAGGCCAGGCCTGTGCGAGCAGATCCCTCCTGGACGCCCGGTACAGCATTCCTTCCTCCCAGCTGTGACACAGAAAGGCAGGTCACAGTGATACTTGCAGCCTTCGTGGCTGGCTTTGGGAAAAGGGGCTTCTGGTTTTATGACCACTTCAGGGAAGAGGGACTCTATTCCTAGGCTAGACTCAGGGGAGGATGAGGGGCTAGAGACAGGAGAGCAGAAGGCCAGAGAGACTGTGCTGCTGAGGCCTTCATTTGGGGGTATCATTTTCTGAGCCCCAACAGAGCACAGATGGAAAAATCTAGAACAGAAAGATAGCAGCACGCACACACCCTGCTCGCATGTACACCTGACTGCTCTTGGAGGTGAGCACTTTATACTTTTCTCACAAATGGGTCAGGGAGAAGGAAGCTTAAGGCTTGAAAGGCAAAAATGCCAGATGGGAGCAAGAACACTTTTAAAAAGCAGAATTTTAATCCAGGAGAAATCAAAACAAACAGTCACAGCTCCCATGCTGAGCACTGTGAGCATTGTAGAGGTTTGGAGAATGAGCCCAGCGGTGGCCCTTGCAGACCAGTTTGATGCTGGACAAGGGCTCTGACCTCAGCCCCTGCCTCGCATCCCCCTGGGCAGCCCAACACGTGGGCTTTCTGCCTGGCGTCCTGGAGACCAGGGGCGGGGCAGGCCGATAGGAGTATATTAGGTTCCCAGACACTCGGGGCATCGGGGCAAGATTAACTAGCTGTGATGCGAGAAAGCGCTCAGATTCCCCCACCTCCACAACACAGAGAAAGAGCTGTTTGTGGTGCCCGTGTGAGCTAACCACAAGCTCAGGGAAGAAAACGTTACAATAAAAGAGACATCCCGCCTGGAAGTGTGCTCTGGACACTTTGGGTGCACAGCAGGACACGCACGGCTGGACAGCCGCACCCTTTGAAGCCTGAGCAAGGGCTCCTCCTGAGGTCAACTCTCACCCGTTGACTTTTGGCCATAATCTGTGCTGAACAGGCCACAGCCGCTCTCAGCAGCACTTGGGACGGCTCAGGGGACAGCACGGGGACTACCAGCCTCAGGAACCATGCCCTCCATGGACGACGTGCTGGAGCACATAGGGGAATTCCACTTTTTCCAGAAACAAACGTTTTTCCTCCTGTCTCTGCTCTCCTTAGTCTTCGCTCCTATCTACGTGGGCGTCGTCTTCCTGGGCTTCACCCCGGACCACCACTGTCGCAGCCCTGGGGTGGCCGAGCTGAGCCGGCACTGCGGCTGGAGCCCCGCGGAGGAGCTGAACTACACGGTGCCAGGCCCGGGGGCCACAGGCGAGGCCTTCTCCCACCAGTGCAGGCGCTACCGGGTGGACTGGAACCAGAGCACCCTGGACTGCGTGGACCCCCTGGCCAGCCTGGCCGCCAACAGGAGCCACCTGCCGCTGGGCCCCTGCGAGTACGGCTGGGTGTACGACACGCCCGGCTCCTCCATCGTCACTGAGGTGAGTGAGCTCAGGCCTCCCACGTGGAGCAGAGAGTTGAGCTTCCAGGAAAACCCAGGAAGGCCTGGCTTGTACTTATGGCTGTGCCTGGACAGGCTTCTTGGACTCAAGGGAGCTTACAAAATCCTGGTTTCTCAAGGAAAGCATGCAGCTTCTCCTTGGTCTGGAGAGGGTGTGGATTAGTTACAAGTAAAAATTAGGTTCCTCAGATCTGACAGCAACAATTCTAGTTTATGCCAGCAGTAAGAATGGGCAAAAGCCCATCAGAAGTCCTGGAAAGGGCTCCAGGAAAGGGCACACAACCAAGCCTTTTCTTTTCCTGGAAGCCCTACCTCTCCCTCTGCTCTTCCCCCACCCCACAGGTGGACCCCCCAAGGGGTGGTTTCAAGTGCCTTACTGTGTAGCACCATGTCCTTGTACCTCAGTGGCTATCTTTTTTCTCCTTAACATGATCAAAAGTCCATATTAAACCATTTGGGGACTGAATTTATGCTATGGCACTATTATTATTTTTATATTAAAAGCTAACTGTGAAGGGCGGCACTGTGGCTCAAAGGAGTAGGGTGCCAACCCCATATGCCAGAGGTGGCAGGTCAAACCCAGCCCTGGCCAAAAACTGCAAAAAATTAATAAATAAATAAAGCTAATTGTGAAGTCTATTTCAATAAATATAATGTTTTTGTTTTTTCAGAGACAGAGTCTTACTCCGTTGCCCTGGGTAGATAGCCATGGTGTCATGACACACAGCAACCTCAAACTCCTGGGATCAAATGATTCTCTTGTCTTAGCTTTTCAAGTAGATAGGACTACAGGTGCCCGCCACATCACCTGGCTAGTTTTTTCTATTTTAGTAGAGTCAGGGTCTCGCTTTTGCTCAGGTTGTTCTTGAATTCCTGAGCTTAGGCAATCTACCCATCTCAGCCTTCCGGAGTGCTTAAGATTACAGCCATGAGCTACCCTGCTCAGCCAATAAATAGAATTTTTTTTTTTAAGTGAAGGCTTGCTTTTATTGAAAACAGAGCAAAAACGGAAGATGAAATTATTTGAAATTACTGAGAAAGCCAGTTACCTAGCTTAGCTTAACAAGCTTGGATGTTTTGCATGGACAGACATTTAAAGGAACCTATTTGTAGGATCTAAAGTAGACACATAGTCGTGGGGAATGTGGACACTCAGAGACTTCACACCACCTAATTTAGGAGGCTCTTGACGTAACCAATGTCATCCCTTGATGCAGAGATGAGGGAGCTAGAGACCCAGAGGAGAGAGTTCTGCCCTAGGCCACATGGGAGTCACCTAGCAGAGTTAGCCCTAGAGGCTGGATGTGGCTGGCACCTGCTCCCCTGACCATCTCCACTTAGTCCAGATGGGAGCAAATGAGAGCAGTTGGTGGGGCACTCCTAATCCTCCTGCTGTTAACAGCAAAGAGACGCTACCCAGCCCACCTTCCGCATGGCAGCACCCCTATTTGCCTCTGATATCCAAGTTAGAAGGAGAAAAAAATGAATTTGTCTGTAAGTGGAATAATGATTCAATTCCAGCTGATTTAGCCAACACAATACTTTGGCCTAATGACAAACCACCAGATGGAAGGCAAATTTTTTGGTTAGGTAAAGAAAATAATTAACATGGACAAAAAGCATTTGAGTTATTGCCACTTAGCCACTCAAAGACTATTTAACATGTTTCCCCGGGGCTGAGCTGTGTCCAACAGGACCCTAACAGGATTTTCTTTCCTCTCTCTCCTCACTCGGAACACACCTCACACACCGCAGTTTGACCTGGTGTGTGCCAATTCCTGGATGCTGGACCTGTTTCAGTCATCAGTGAACATAGGATTTTTTATCGGCTCTATGGGTATCGGCTACATAGCAGACAGGTGGGTGAAGCATCTGTGCTGGGATTTAAACCACCCCATAGGTTTGGAAAAACTCCGATGTACCTGCCCCTGCTTGAACACCACTTTCCCAAAACACACATTGCAACCTCCTGGCCCTCGTGTCAATTGTTTTTACAATCTCAGATTTCTTCTGCCACTTTGGCCATCACACCTCATGTCTTTATTGTCAAATTCTCTGAAACCATAGATGTTTCAGTAACAAGCAGTGACTTTCCCGTGGGCTGTCCAGCAGCTTGGAGTCAGAGGGCAGAGGAATAGGTGGTCTAATCCCTTTTGTAATTCCAAGCTTATCCACCTGTCCATAGGCCTTCAGGGAGTTCTGGGCTCTGTCCCATCACCTGCTTGTCTCTCAGATCCTAGGAGCCACTGGCACCAGTTCCCATGCCCAATGTCCCTATTGCCCATGGGATTGCAGGATTCCTGAATTGGGTTCCTGGGGCCAGACGTGACTACAGGAGTGGAACCTAAGATACCATCTAATGAAAGTAAACCAGGCTCTATCTACACCAAAGGAGGCCATGTCCACCCCCACTGTGCCAGTGTTCCTGGAGAGAGAAAGGGGATGAAAGGCCTCTCCGTGAGTCTGTGTCTTTAGCCGGCTAATATTCAGTACTGACCAATACTCATACTGATCAGCCTCTATTTTTTTGAGACAGAGTCTCATTATGTTGCCCTCAGTAGAGTGCCATGGCATCACAGCTCACAGCCACCTCAAACTCTTGGGCTTAAGTGATACTCTTGCCTCAACCTACTGAGTAGCTGGGACTACAGGCACCCGCCACAATGCCCGGCTATTTTTTGGTTGCAGTTGTCATTGTTTAGCAGGCCCAGGCTGGGCTCCAGCCCACCACCTTCAGTGTATGTGGCTGGTGCCCTACTCACTGAGCTATGGGCACCAAGCCAGGCTCTTCTTTTATTTCTTTTTTATCTAGTGCTTTGGAATCCCATGCTTGCTTTGTGACACCCATGGTTTATTGAGGACCAGGCTCAACGTTTTGGACAGTATTATTCTCCTTTGTCATCAGCCACCTCGTGAGATAGTGACATACAACTATATAAATTATATGAAGTTTAACTTAAGCATAATACACCACTCTGAAATAAATGGTAAAGATACTTTATGCCTCTTGCCCCAACTACATCTCTGGTGTAATCCAAACCTCTGAGTGTTAATATTAAACGTTAAGTAGAATATTTTCTCTGATTACATTGTTAGGCTGGGTTAAAACTTGCAAATGGGTTAACAATTAATATTGGGCTCTAGCTGCAGGCAGGAGAGGGGTGAAAGCGGCATCACTCATGTGTGCTGCTGTCTGCTCAGCCTCCCCGCCAGGGCTCTTCCAGGGCAGTCCCTGGGAGGCTCTTAGGTGAAGAGGAAGGTCATTTGTCTTTGTTTTTATTGCTGCAGCATTGAGGAAGGCTGTTTGGAGATGGACCATTGAGTCAGGAGAGACCCATCAACACAGGCAGCCCAAAGTCCGAGCTCCCCAGGCGCTGTCGGGTCACAGCTCCCCTCTCGCCCCTCCTTCACTGTCAGGTGGAGATCCTAACGCCCACATCACCCAGAAGGATGTGTGCACACAGGGGACTGAGCTTTACACAGGGGGGGTAAAGAAATTAGTTAATTATTCCCATCTCACTCAACAAGTAGGAGACCGGTGATAACTTCCTCTTGACAGTGCATTCCTGAGCTATAATCGCCAATTATCCACCTTCTCAGATGACCTCATTGTCTTGTTCCTATTATTAAAATCTCTGTAAAGTTGATTGTTCACTATTCCTCTCACGAGGCTGTCTACATACCTCTATTTCATTTTCTTAAATGCCTAAAGTTTGCTGGCCTGGCTGTTGCCCTTACTTCTATAAGACAACCACCATATGGATCAAAAACAGGTATTTTTTTTTTTTGCATAACTTATACCTACCACTTTCAGATTTTATAAAATAGGACAAGAATTTCATGGAAACCCATTTTTTTTTTTTTAAGAGACAGAGTCTTACTTTATCACCCTCAGTAGAGTGCTGTGGCGTCATAGCTCATAGCAACCTCCAACTCCTGGGCTTAGGCAATTCTCTTGCCTCAGCCTCCCGAGTAGCTGGGACTACAGGCACCTGCCACAATGCCTGGGTATTTTTTCGTTGCAGTTTGGCCAGGGCCAGGTTTGAACCCACCACTCTCAGTATATGGGGCTGGTGCCCTACTCACTGAGCCACAGGTGCTGTCCATGGAAACCCATTTTATCCACTTAAACTTATATGAAATAAAACACGTCGCCTTCCATGAAGAATCTTTAGGTGGTGCTCTGACAGCCGAGTGGGTTGTCTTTTCAAGGAAAGTCACGAGGACATTATGAAAAACTCTGATCTGGCAGGTCTGGGGTGGGCCTGAGGTTCTGCATTTCTAACAGCTCCCAGCTGATGCTGGTTCATCCCTCTGGTCTCCCACTGACAGTCCTGGACCACGTTCTGAGGAGCAAGTAGCTGAAGGATGAGGAAGTGGCAGCTCCAAGCCCATCCCTCTCTCCCTTCCAACCCTTCATTCAACCACTGCAGTGTCTCTATTGGGGAGAGAAAGACTTTCAAACTAGTAACCCTCAATCTCCCAAATTTCTTCTAGCAATGCCTTATTTAAAAAAAAAAATAGCATTGTGTCTTTATTTGGGACATGCCCCCCTGTAAAGGTTTTCTGCATGATGGATTTGGTTTTCTTGCTCTGTGTTTCAAATGATCAATATTCCCTCTCACCACCTAGAGGATTTTTGTCCACCTACGGGAGCATCACTGTCATGCTTTACTGGGTGCCTGAATCAGCTCTGAAAGCTGAAGTATTACCACCTGAGCACATGTTATAGATTATAAACCCGTTGAAGATAAAGGAAGGGGTTTGGGGAGGAGAATGCAGGAAGAAAGACTAGAAAATTAACTTGAGATCTTACTTTGGAAGGCTTTGAATTAAAGGCCAAGGGTTATGTGTTTAAGATGGGAAGTCATTGATTGACAATTACGTGATTAAAACAGAATTTTAAGACTTTGAAGAAATTTAGCAGTTTAATGTGACTGTTTGACCTTTAAATTTCAGATTTAAAACTAATACTCCAAAATAATTAAATAATTTAAAACTAATAATTAGTAATTTAAAACTAATACTCCCAAATAATCGTGGATTATTTTTGGAATGGTTAGCATTTGAAATCTTCACTACAATATAATGGCCTAATAGTAAGAGCATCAGTTAAAACTGCTTGGCCACTATTAGGATGAGCAACGCTAATAACAAAAGGTACAAATTCAGATTAAAGTGGAAAATGAGATTAAATAAAACATTGCTGTTCATGAGAATTTAAAAAATATCTACTAACAGTAGATTAGAGTGTCTTTTAGAAAAAAAACCAGGACATGATGAAAATGTGAAACAGTACCCGGCCCAAGGTCAGATCTCTGAGCTGAGCCTCCTTCGTACAGTGGAAGAAAGGGAAGGAGAGAGAGGAGCTGGGTGCCAAGCTCATCACCTGTCATATCTTGCTGAATTCTCTTTTCAGCTGGGTCAATGGGGTCTTTTTCAGAGAAAGAAATTAAAGTCAAATAACTGGCCCAACATCACATAAATAGTAAAGCCATAATTAAACTCAGGTTGCCAATTTTTTTCCTTTATTCTATGTATTAGAACAACTTTCTGAGTCTCTAAATTAATAAAACCTAATTCCCTCAAATCAAATATATGCAGACTGTCTCCCACCAGGCTCCAGACACAGGCCCCAGAGAATGGTAACGTGTGACCCCAAAGACAGTTTCCATGGAGACACACAAAGTCTCAAAGCAGTGTTGAAAAGGCATGAGGCTGTTGCCGGGCACTGTGGGTCACCCCTATAATCCTAGCACTCTGGGAGGCTGAGGCGGATGGACAGTTTGAGCTCAGGACTTCGAGACCAGCCTGAGCCAGTGAGAGACCCTGTCTATACTAAAAACATAATGGGGTGTGGTGCTGGGCACCTGTAGTCCCAGCTACTCTGGAGGCTAAGGCAAGAGGACCACTTGAACCCAAGGGTTTGAGGTTGCTGTGAGCTATGAAGACACTGTGCCACTCTATCCAGGGCAACAGAGAAAAACACGCTCTCTCAAAATAAATAAATAACAAGAAAAAGGCATGAGGGTGAATACTGAATTTTGTTTTTTCCAAAGTAAAATCTCTCTTGGCTGGGCAGTTGGTTGAGACTGTTAGTGCAAAGGTGGCCACTCTGATGACAATGTCAGACCTAGGTAGGCCCGGGGGGCATTCAGCACTGGGCAGCCTGGAGAATTACCCCCCTCCCTGAATACCTGCCACAGTGTGGGACTGAGAAGAGACTTTAACCCTTAGTGAAGGGGGCTCATCTGGCTTAACATTTCTACACAGCATGTTGACGTAGGTCTAACGGACTGAAGGCCGGATCTTCCTTGTGCCTAGCAGTCTGTGCCTCCTGTATCTCCATGATTTAGAGATTTAGATTTTTGTCTCGATTCCATAACTTCCATGAATTTTCTCCAACCTTCATGCATCAACTTTAATTTGCTTCCCTCTCTTTGTTTTTCTATTTGCAGGTTTGGCCGTAAGCTCTGCCTCCTAATCACAATCCTCATCAATGCTACATCCGGAGTTCTCATGGCTGTTTCCCCAACCTATACGTGGATGTTAATTTTTCGACTGATCCAAGGACTGGTCAGCAAAGCAAGCTGGTTAATAGGCTACATCCTGGGTAAGAACGCGCGTGACCGCAGCTGTGTGAGCAAAGGAACACGGCTGCCAAAACAGTCAGATGGGGGCAGCTATGTGGAAAAACAGAGCCAGCTACAAGTCCGTGTTGAGAAATCTTTTTTTCCATATCAAAAGAATTTCTAGAATTATTTCAGTCAACTTATTCTGCCTTCCTCTTATAAAGAAAACAATGAAGGCAGAAACAAGGATAAACATCTTGCCACCCAGATTCTTATATAACTCTTTTGGAATTTTTGTTTTGTTGATTATATAGACAAAAAATCTAGCCCACCAGGCCTGTTCATAAAGAAGATCCGTTGGTGAGAAATAATCATAGATTTATGCAGGACTTTAGTATTTTTGCATAAATCTATGTTGGTAAACTATGATTATCCTCAATTTATACACAAGGAAACTAAGGGTGCAAATACTGGGGACAACACAGATCACTCAGCCAGCCTGTTTGTAGGACCAGGAATATAATTTACATCCTGTTCATTAGTAGCCAGAGTTTTGGTTAAGCTCTGTGGAGTATAAGAGAATATTTGAATTTAACAGCATAGCATACTTGTAGCAATATTAAGGAAAATCACCATCTGGGGAATTAACCTCATCGTTACTTTCCCTTTGACGACCTTCAAACAGAATCTGTACACAGGGAAACAGACATTGTGAAATTAAAATAAGGACAATAAAACTCTCATTGCACATGAGATAACTAGAATGTGGGTGCTTACAGTTTTACTGAGGAAAGTTGATTCAGGGAATTCTATAAGAGAAAGAGCTGCTTAACACCTACCGCTCCTGCCAGAGTAGGCACTTCATAAATGTCTGGTCAAAGAAGATATTAATGTGTGCAGTTATTCAATCAGTAACTTGGTTTCCAGGAAACAGAGCAGGGGAAATTATGTAGATTTAATTTTGTAAATGTGAATCTCAACAAAAGTTAATGTCAGCCTCCTCCAATTAATTTCCTCTCCTGTCCCTCCAAATATCCACGTAAACCTCACGGTTCCATGTCTTCCTACTCCTCCACCTGAACCTCATCCTGGACCCTAACACCACTCAAAGACAGACATTTCTATTTATAGAGCACTTACTTCGTTTTGTTTAACTGTGTTTTAAAATACCTTTGGATAATTCACAGTAATTAATGGAAATATCTTTAATTATATATAAACCAAATGGAAATGTACCCTAAAGTCTTGAACATGTTCGTCAAACATTTAAAGCAAAAACTGTGGCTTATAGAATATTATGAACTTCAATTCTAGTGTGTCTGTCATCTAAAGACAACGATCCCCTAATTCAACATACATGGGCCTCGTGTCTGTCATGAGGTAGTCATGGGATGAGACAAAGTTGATCATTGGACCATGTGCAATGGTATGCTGGCAAATTGGCTTTTTGAGAAGAAAAAGCCCTTATTTGTAGAATTTTTCAATTTGCAAGGTGTAAATATTCTCACCATATCTGATTTCAGGATACCAATGGGTTGAACGAGTAGCTTGCAAAATTCCTAGAAATTTAAAAGCCAGTTCCTAAAAGGTAGCATTATCTGATTCCAACCCTCTGCTAAGTTTCCAAGCCATTTACACAAACAGGATCGCAAAGAAAATGTAAGAGAAAATTCAGGTCTTCATGTACAGAAAAATATCTTCAATCGAAATTCAATGTTTGATGCATTTATACAGGTCTTGCGTTATCACGGCCTTTTTACTCTACATCAAAATTTAGCACCTGCAAACACAATTTCATTTGTCTTTGAAATTATTCTATAAATCAAATACTTTTTGCTTGTATGAACAGGCCTTTTATCTTATCTAATATGGGATTGTAAAATTCTGTTAATACAACAGCAATTGTTATAACAAAACGAACTCATCCTAGAATAAGTGCTCCCTGCCTCATTGTTGACTATCACCATGGTCACCTTTGAGGTACTCCCCTTGAGATGCAATGCTCTGACACCAGCACCTAGTCCACCCTTCAAAGCAAGGAACTCTTATAGCCATCAGAGTTGTTGTCATACATGGTCTGGCAATTAAGTTCATGAACTCATCCTAGTAAAAGTACATCATACCTCATTGCTGAATATCATGACAGTCACCTTTGAAGTATTCCCCTTGGCCATTTGGTGAGCATCAGGAAATTCAGCAATGAGTATGTAGCACTTTTTCTAGGATAAGCTCACAAACTTAACTGACCTTTGTTAAGAACCAAAGAACATTTTAAAATATTCAGAAAGCTGTGTAGGAAATTCTAGAATTTGCACTAGATTTTCAAAATTGGCGTTCTAGTTTCCTGATAGTCAGCCAATTCACTGTTATACTGAATTGCATTGACCATTCGGAGTCTCTCTGCAGTTACAGAATTTGTTGGGCTGAGCTATCGGAGAACAGTGGGGATTTTTTACCAAGCCGCCTTCACCGTGGGGCTCCTGGTGCTCACCGGGGTGGCGTACGCACTTCCTCACTGGAGGTGGCTGCAGTTTGTGGTTACTCTGCCTCACTTCTGCTTCTTGCTCTATTACTGGTAAGTCCATTTGGAACAAAAAGGAGGGAAAATGAAACATTTTGTGTTGCTAAAAAGGCTGCCCTGATGATCTTTTCTTCTGATTCTGAGGTTTAGTTCACTTTTCAGGCTTATTTCACAGAAATCCTAATTCCATGTTTTAGGGACAAAAATCATAAGCTTTGATCGGCCTCTGCCCCCACCCTCAGCTCCCAGAAAGCAAATGTCCTTTCTCTTTGGGCTTAAAGGTTTTGTGACCTGGATTTTACATTTCCATGTTATTACTTGGTGTTTAAATTAGCTTCTGGCAATCGTACAATGTGGACATAGACCCTTTGAAGAGATTGACGGTACCATTATTGCTGTTCAATCCTTCCTGAGAGGAAGCCTTAGTTAGGATGGAGAAGGTGAAGCATGGCACTTGTGTCACCACTTTCCAATACCTGTGCCTGAGGCAGACATCTCTAATCAATCACAGTGGTCTCATCTCAGATAAGGCCAACATGACCCTCCAGACAGACCATATCAATCAATCTGAGTTACCAAGGCGAGAAAAATATGCACTGTGTTTGTCATCCCTGCCTAATGGAAGAATATAGGAAATAACAAAATTATTTGAAACCCCTAATTTGCCCAAAATAAAGCAAGGGGATGCTGGATCATCAGACCAAATCTCTCTCTCATGCAATAAACCCATTTACTTACTTTCTCCTGGAGGTAGCCACTTGCTCTCCCCAGGATTGTGGTGCCCAAGAATTAAATGTGGCAACCCTCCCCAGGAAGCTTGTTTCCTAGACCAAAGGCTGTAAAACTCTGTGTCTGAGTCAGCCCGGGCTGCTATAACAAAATACCATACACTATGTGCTTATAAACAAGCACTGCTCACAGTCCAGAGGCAGAAAGTCCGAGATGCGGGTGCTGGCAGAGTCCACTCCTGGCAAAGGCCAGCATCCGGGCTGTGGCTGTGGACTTGCATGGCGGAGGGAGAGTGAGCTCCCTGTGGTCTACTCTTCCTGTTCTTACAAGGACACTAATTACATCATGGGGCCCACCCACAAAGCCTAACCCAAGTACCTTCTAAGGGCCCTGCCTCCAAATTTCATGTTGGGGTGGAAACATTAACATATGAGTTTTGGGGCACAGAACGTTCAGCCCATAACACTCTGAGAGCGACCTGTACCTCCTCCTCTCATCTCCTTCTACCCATTTGTGCCTCCTCTATGCCTCCAAATCCACCCCTTATCTCCTTTCCATTAGAAAACCATTCATTTCCTGCATGGGTTACTGTGATCAACTCTGGACTGGTCTCCTTGACATTCGCTTCACTCTCCTCTAATCTGTGCTTCCTGCTGCATTCCAGACATCCAGCTCCACCACGTCACTGTCCTGCTTAAAAATCTTCCCATGTTTTTCCCCTGCAGAGTGAAGACCTAGTGCTTTAGCAAGACAGACGGGCCAGCTATTGCCCAAGCTCTGCCCACCTCTGAAGCACTCCCTCTCGCCACTTTCACTGAATAGAATCAAATCGAATTTATTTACAATCCTACAAGCTCTCCATCATGAGCTTTACATTTCTGAAAGATCACAGAACAGAAAGCAAGTGCGTAGGGGAAGAATGGAGGCAGGGAGACCAGAGAAGTGACGATCCCAGTTAACCCTTGCAAGAGAGGACAAAGGCCTAAATTAAGGCAGAACTTGTGGGTAGAAAGAGAAAAACCCATAAGCCAAATTCTATTGCGGCAGCAGTGACAGAGCGTGGTGACAAGCTGCATGCAGGAGCTCCCAGGGAGGTCTGCACACTCCCACCCCCACTCCTCGACCTTCCATCAGTTCTTGAGCCTTTGCAAAGCCTGGGGCCACTCTGGCTTCCCTGAGTCTCCTGCGTGGAGCACAGCATCAGGGGCGCAGCTGCACCCCTCTCTGCAGCTGCTTCCAATGGTTGGACACAGCCTCCTGCCAGGTGAGCAAACACATTGCTTAGAGATCTCTGAGGAGGGGGCCTGAAGGCCTCCTGGACAAGGCTGCCTGCAGGTTGGCATTTGAGGAAGGAAAGAACCCGGTCCCCTTGCATGTTCGTTACTCTTTGTAGATCCAACTGAACCTCACTGTGTAAGATGCTCAGAGAAATCGGACTGTGAAAATAGGGGGTGGGAGGTAAGACTTTCACCTCCACTGACCTTGTCCCCTAGGTGCATACCAGAGTCTCCAAGGTGGCTGATTTCCCAGAACAAAAATGCTAACGCCATGAGGATCATTCAACACATCGCAAAGAAAAATGGAAAATCTCTGCCTGCCTCTCTTCAGGTGAGCCAGGGCACAGTGAGAGGGCAACTCTGGGGTGACAGGTGGACAGGGGCCAGGCACAGGAGCTGCCACCAGTTTGCATGTTGGCCTAACATGTAGGGAAATCCAACAGAGTGTTGTACATACTAAGACTCGTGGATCCCTGAGAGAATATTTGAAACAGGTGTGAGATGTCAAACTAACAGTGAACCAGAAGTCCCCTAAGGGACAAACAAGGAGTTTCTACCTCATGCAGCTCACCCCTGCCCTGTCCACTCATCTGTATATCCAGCACCCTTCAGTCAGTTCTTAGATCAGCAGGGCAGTTCTTTTTTATTGGCCTTTTGGATAGAAATAGGAACTTACTTTTCAGGAAGGATGATCCCACCACAATTCTGCAGGAGCCTGTGGGTGGCCTCCTCTGTGCCGATTCTGTAGGTGCCCCGGTGCAGCCTGTCCTGGGCTTCTCGTCTGCAGTGCTCCACCTGCCCCCCTGTACCTCAGAGGGTCCAAGCTGAACAGACTGATGCTTACAGCATAGTCGATATGCAGATCGATACATCCCTGGATTCCAAACCAGAGTTTCCAGCGTCTGAGAAGTTATTTTTCCTTAACTCATGCTCCTACACCTTTAGGCCTTGCTCCAGGATTTCTCCTGCCTGGGCCTCTCTGGGCAGGGGACAGCAATCCTTTCATTTCTGCTGATGCCAAAGGATCTGATGGTAAATCTAGCCTTGGAGAACACAGGGTCTGGCCTGTGAGCTGCCCCAGTGCCTGACCACCTGGGCCAGTCAGTTCTCACTCTCGGCCACACAGAGACTGAGGCTGGCCTTGTGGACGCCAAGTTCCCACGTGGGGTTCTCCTTTCACCTTGATCTGCCGTTATGGAGAACAGGAAGACAGAACAGTTATTTAAACACAAGCAGTTCCTTAGAGTTTTGAACGTTTGGATGGAAATCAGTCCAAAAGATTGTAAGCAATTCCCTACCTTCTGAAATAGAATCAAGTCACAGAGGCGTTCACTGTGCAGGTAGAGTTTGCCTTTAGTAGATCTCACTGCTTTGGCCTCAAGCCTTTTCATCTAACAGGGGCTGGAAAAGAAAAAAATCAAACTGGTTAGACAATTATGTCAGGAAAGACAAAGAAAATGATGTCAGGAGGAAGGGTTGGGTTAGTTCACATGTGCGTGACAGGTGGTGCACATATTCTGGGTGAAGGACACACTCTGGCTTTGACTTAAAATGCATAAAAGCAAACACATGTTACATAACCAAAACACATGCATCCTGGTAATACTCTGAAATTTTAAAGAAAATTATGTCAAAATCAGAGTAAATCATTTCTGACTGAGGATCTGTGATAGGTCACCTGTAAGAACTTGAGGTTTCATGGCGTTTAGAATGAGGGCTTTTTGACTCCAAGGCCTTTTCCTGCACTCCCTCCCTGGTTCCCGGGCTGGTGAGGCGTCCATCCTTTCCCGCCACTGACCGGCAGAGCACCTGAGTCCTAGATGTTAGATTCCTGCATCAACCGGCCAGGAGACAAATCACACACAAGTCATCATCTCAAAAGAGATGGTATCCAGGTGATGAGGGCAAATCTGGTCATTGCCAAAGTCTTGCTGAAGCTTCCCCCTCTGCACCCCATCGTTTCACACTCTCATATGTTCCCTTCAGGAAGGAGGAAGGGTGGAGACTCTCAGCTCCCCCACCCACTGACAGCATTCTTCTTGAGCAGTGTTCTCGGTCATTACCACCACACACAGGAACCACCTGAGAACCTTGTAAATATTCCAATTCAGATCAATCTATCCCTGCCTTATTGCCAACAAGCTCCAGGTGATGCTGGTGCTGGTGTGAATGCCAAGGTCCCAGGGCACAGCCTCCTGCCAGGTGGGCAGACGCATCGCTTAAGCCTCAGCCCACAAGGCTGGGCCTGAGACTGGGTACTGATTATACCCCGTGGTGTATCACAAATAATAGACAGGCACCATGAATTATCTAATTTCTCCATGTCCCAGCTTCCTCTTCTGTAAAATAGGGTGAAAGAAATATAACTTCTAGACTATTTTTTAGAGATTAAATAAAGCAAAGTCTTTAAACTGCTTAGTGTAGTGCTGGGCTCATGGTACATTCTCAATAGGTGTAAGAGATTATTATTACTCCCCGCGTCACCCAGGGACACCGTCACTAAATACACAGCGCTGTTCTTACCATGTCTTTCCTTAGGGCCTGAGACCCGATGAGGAAGTGGAGAAGAAGTCGAATCCTTCCTTTCTTGACTTGGTCAGAACCCCACAGATTAGGAAACGCACTTTGATCTTGATGTACAACTGGTAAGGAATATTCTTCACTTTAAAAATATTTCCAAATTCTTTTCCTCATAATCAGCCACATTAAGGAAGGGGAAAAGACCACTTTCCACACATGACCTCATCCCACTGTTAGCACCAACAGTGGACAGCAGTGTGTCCGCTCACATATAGTGAGTTTTTCTGAGACAAATGTTGAAATCAACGTACAGTCCCTGAGCACAGATGAGTCTGTTCTCAGCCTTGACTTCACATTAGAATCACCTGGAGATTATAACACACCAAGGTCAAACTCCCATCTCCAGAAATACTGATTTAATTGGTCTAGGGTAGGGCCTAGGGATCAACAGAGTTTTAATTCTTCAGGTGATTCTAACATATAGCCCAAATCAAGAGCTATTGGTATAGGTTAATGATGAGTGTAGATCTCTACGGTAGTACAAGGCTGGAAAGCAAAGGGATTTTTCTTTCTTTTTTCATTTTTTGCCTGGAGAAAAAATAAATAAATTAAAGAACAAGAATAATCCACTGGCTCCACAACCCAGCAACACAGTGTTTACTGGGGTGACTGTCTAGAGGTTGCTCTCAGAGCTCTGAGCCCTTTGTTCTTTGAGTCCTGGCCTCCCTAGTGAGGACGGCATGCCCTTCAGCGAGGCTGCATCTCACACCCACCAGATGAAGATTTACAATCGCTGACAAAAGCCAAGCCCACCAGGAGTTAAGTGAGCAACCTTCACAATACATGGGGAGAAGGAAGCATTGAGATTGGCCTCATTCTCCTTCTTTCCTTTGCTGAATAACTAGGACTCTCATTGATGATCTTCATATTTATTACTATGTATAATGACAATTTTTAGTCAACAAAGTTAACAATATTGTCCAAACACTGCTTGTACCATGTTGAAAGAGAAATCATGGAGAGAGGAGCTGGATTCCTGAAATTGGAATCACAGAGGCAGTCCTTTTGGCCCCAACTGCATTAGAAGGCCACAGAGACAGAAGTAATTCCCACCACTAATACCTTGGCATAGTTTTACTAAACGAACTGGTCTATTATGATGTTCTTCTTTGCTTTCAATCTGGTCAGGGAAAGCTACCCTAATTTCTCCCCATGGTCCTTCGGTCGTAGCCAAGCACTGAGGTAGGTCAGATATTGTAATGCTAGTGGGTTAAGGGGTGAATCTCTGGGAAAGGTGACCTGCAATCAACTTCCTGGACCTCTTTCTCCAGAAGCTTCTTCCTCCTGGCAGCTTGTGCTTGGTGCTCAACTTGACTTGAACTCCTCTCTTTGCTCAGGTTCACGAGCTCTGCCCTCTACCAGGGCCTCATTATGCACATAGGGCTTGCAGGAGGCAATATCTACCTGGAGTTCTTCTACTCTGCCTTGGTTGAGTTCCCAGCTGCTTTTATCATCATCCTTACCATTGACCGCATTGGCCGCCGTTATCCTTGGGCCGCATCAAACATGGTGGCAGGTGCGGCCTGTCTGGCCTCAGTTTTTATCCCTGATGGTAAGTTTCGGGCCAAGATAGGGTCTTGACTATGGCCCTTAGATGGGAAGACCATGTAATTTATCATTCAGATCAATCTGAAGATCAGAGGAGTAGTATCTGGGATCTTTCTGAGCAGATCCACATGGCCTACCTACCTTCCGGAACAGTTACATCCCTTGTTCTCTGATGTGATATAGAATCTATGGAGACCCATGTTCAGGCCATCGAGCCAGCCTAGCAGAGCTGGGCTTGCAGGTAGAGCAGACCCAGGGTCAAAGTCTCACTCGGTACTTCCTAGATATTATTTAGCAGCTCTGTTGACCTCCCAGCATCATCCTACAGAATAAATGAGAAAACTTAAGTAAATGTCATCAGTAAACAGTTATTCAGTTCCTTTCTTTCCTTTAACAAAATGCTTTCTCAGTGAAAGGGAACAAAAGCCTGTATAACAGAATCCCTTTGGCAATAGGGATTTGTTCTAGTCCTGCCATGATTAGTAATTTTTTTTAAAAAAGTGCCCACATTTTGCTGTTTCTTTGGAGTGACCTCTATAGACTAAAGTTGTCTATACCAATTGTCATTACCAAACGAGGTCTGAAGTGAAGAGCACACAGAGGATTTGGGGGGCAAGTCCATTGGTCTTGTAATAGTGGACACAGGTCATTATATGTTTGCCCTGATCCACAGGATGTATAACACCCCAAGTAAACCCTGGTGCAAACTGTGGGTTTGGGGTGATTAGGATGGATCAGAGCAGGTTTATCAATTGTTACAAATGTACCACTGGGGGTGCACAAAATGAGGGGGGACTGCACCCATGTGGGGGAAGAGAATATGTGGGACATCTCAATGAGGTCCTTTCAATTTTGCTATGAACCTAAAACTGCTCTGGAAAAGCAAGTATTAGAATCGTGTGAGGTTAAAGCAAAGGAGAATTTGCTGGCATTAACCTACAGAACTAGTTGAGCTTTCTTGTCCTGTTCTGGAATGTGGCCCCACTCTGGAGCCTGCCGAAAAGCAAGGGTCGCCTGCAGGAGGCACATTTGGAGGTGTGCTTTCCCCCTCAGATCTGCAGTGGCTCAAAATCACTGTCTCATGCCTGGGCAGAATGGGGATTACCATGGCCTTCGAAATGGTTTGCCTGGTCAACACTGAGCTGTACCCCACATTCATTCGGTGAGTGCGTTTTCCTCAGGATGAAGAGGGAGGTTGGGACATTTGCGTATTGACTAGAATGGCCACAGGTGTGGTCAAAGGACACTTAGTTTCCAAAACGTGGTGTTAGGGCAGATGAGAAGATGCAAAGGCAGGACCGAGCCCAGCAGTCCACCTCTCGCACTTACAGGCTGGGGTAAAATACAGAAGCTGAGTTGAGAATAGAAAATGCTGAACTACAAGGTAGGGGTTACTGAATGGCTATAGCAGAGAGCAACTCTAACACATTGACGGGCCCATGGAGACAGCCCAGGGAAACCAAGCAAAAGAAGCAAGAAGAAAAAATTGCACTTCTCTCCACATTTAAAAATCTTAAAGTTTATATAAAACAAGAATTACCAGAAAATGAATGGAATTGAGTACATGTAGCATTTTTGGACATTGAAAATAATGTAAATAATGTCTTTCAGATCCCAGACATTTTAATGATTTGGGGAATCATTTGTTTGAAGATAGGGTGGGAGGTAATACCACCCCCCAACCAGGTCTCTTGCCCACCACCCAGATAAAGGCCAAGACAGCAGGAGTTCCAGTGGATGGGGAGTTTAATATCTCACAGTGACAGGAGATGGGATGAATTTCTCAGAGCCATCTCCTGGAGAATTTGCAGACTGAGATTTTTAAAGGAGGTTTGGTGAATGAAGGGCTAGGGAAGGGGGCCTGTTGACTGGCTGGGAATGAACTTACAGGGTTGGGAGGCAGAAATTGTCTTCTTGGTAAGCAGGAGTCCCTGGGGTGGGGCTCCTTGGATCAGTAAAGGATCAGCCCCCAGACTGAATGCGAGTTCCCAGTGCCAGCAGGAGTCCCTGGGGAGGGGCTCCTTGGATCAGTA